CTTTTTTATTTTCAAAATTTCTTTCATTTTATGTTTTTCTCTCTCTAAAACTTCTTTTTTCCAATCTCCTTTTAATTTGTTTTCTTTTTTAAAATTTTTAATCTTTTTATTGAACTTCTTATTTTTTCTTCAAAATTTCTCTTTACTRTCTCAAAAAAGTGTTTTTTCCCTGTTTTCAAAATTATTTTTCACACTCAAAATATTTGTAAAACTCTTTAAATTTTTTCTTCAAAATTCTCTGTAAAAGTTTTCCCTCCCCCTTGGAAACCTTTTCTTTTATCAAAATGTATATTTTTAATCCTGATTAACACTTTTATCTTTAAAATTTCTTTATTTTTAAAAAGGATGGTAGAAAATGAAGAAGAAAAGACCGGAAGGAAAAAAAAAGTTTAAAGTGAAAAACGGTTAATATGAAAGTTGAAAACTCTTTTATAGAAATGAGAGAAATTTTAAAGTTAAAAAGATTAATACAAAAAATTTGGGAAGCTTTTTTTAGCCAGAAAATTTAAAGAGATAAAAGATTTTTTAAGTAAATGTTAATAGAAAATAAAAAATAGATTTTGAAGAGGAACTAAAAGAGGAAAAAACTTTTGTGCCGAGATTTTGAGGAAAAAAAGGTTAATGAATTTTTCCTCTCTATTACGAACTTTTAGTTCCTCTTCAAAACCTATTTTTTATTTTCTATTAACATTTACTTTTAAAAAAAACTCTTTTATCTCTTTAAATTTTCTTTATTTTATAATATTTTTCTTGGTTAAAAAAGCTTCCCAAATTTTTTTATTAATCTCTTTCAACTTTAAAATTTCTCTCATTTCTATAAAAGAGTTTTTCAACTTTCATATTAACCGTTTTTCACTTTAAACTTTTTTTTTTCCTTCCGGCCTTTTCTTCCTCATTTTCCATCATTCTTTTTTTTTAAAATAAAGAAATTTTAAAGATAAAAGTGTTAATCAGGATTAAAAATATAAATTTTGATAAAAGAAAAGGTTTCCGAGAGGGAGGGAAAACTTTTACAAGTTTTACAAATATTTTGAGTGTGAAAAATAATTTTGAAACAGGGAAAAAAACACTTTTTTGAGATAGTAATGAGAAATTTTGAAGAAAAAATAAGAAGTTCAATAAAAAGATTAAAAAATTTCAAAAAGAAAACAAATTAAAAGGAGATTGGAAAAAAGAAGTTTTAGAGAGAGAAAARCATAAAATGAAAGAAATTTTGAAAATAAAAAAGATAAGATTAAAAGAAATTAAAAAAA